TCTAGTACTTACAAAAAAGTAAATAAAAGAGGAACATGTAGATACATTTTGATTCACATGAAACATACAGAAGTAGTTACTGACCCTTTTGTTTTCTCCTTCTCATCCAGTTCCCCCCCACCCCCCACCCAGAGCAGGGGTTGGAACCCAGGACCAGCATGCTAGGCAAGTGCTCTACCATGGAACTCCAGAACCAGCCCCCATCCAGTTTTTAAAAACTTCTTTTGTATATACAATTTTCAATATGCACAACATTGATCAATGTATGGACCATACATGGGATTGTTCTGGAAGGTGTGTACAAGTGCACTGTGTGGTATTTATTGTTCACAGTTGTTTTCCTTTTCAATGTAATAATTTTGGGGTTTTTTTGGGCCAGTGCTAGGGATGGAACCCAGGGCCTCACAAATGCTAGGGAAGTGCTCTACCGCTGAGCTACATCTCCAGCCCTCAGTGAAATCATTTGAGATCTAGCCATGTTGATACAGCTATCTCACTCCTGTCCATTGCAGGGCACTCTTCAATCGTCCAGCACCCCCCCCACTTCTGTTAATGGACTCCTGGCTGGATCTAACTGTCGTTGACAGCCGTGCTTTGGAGTGCCCTCCCACCCGCCTTTCTGGAGAGTCACCTAGACACACAGTGCTTTGACTTCACCAGCTTGCTAAATGGCTCTCCAAAGTGACGGTGCCAATTTGCACCCCACCAGCCAGGCACGAGGGGACCCACTCCCCAAACACGCACAATGCTTGCCAGTGGGTGGTCACATGGCAAGTGGTTTTTATTTTCTTTTTTACGCTTTCTGTCACTGACGTTTTCTGTCACAGCAGACCCACTCCTCGGTTTGCTCCTGACTTCAGCTCCGGACAGGTTTCAGTTATTCACCGTGGATGTCAGCCACAAGTTCTGGGCAGCCTGCCGAATCTATGGTGTCGCTTAAAAATCCCTGTCATTTCTGTGAACGTGAATGTTTGGACAATTTATCCTGCGCATCCCATCAATAGCAACACCCCAGAGTCCTCGTTCCAGCGTCGCCTTTCATTGTTTTAAACTGAAATGCACCGATGCGCTCTCGCACATTACCACCATAATCGCTGCCTTTTCTGCGGAAATCACTGGGAGATTGTGCCTTGATACAAGGGAAGGGCGACAGGGCCACGCAGGGCGAGGCTGGGATTCCACAATGAGCGTCTGTCAAGAAACTGTTTTCAAAGGAGTGGCAGGAGCAGTCCTGGGCACCTCTCGGAGTCAGGAAATTTGAGACATATATTTCACAGACGCCATCTCGCTATAAACCTTGCTGCATAATGCATGAGGTCTGATTTAATGGCATTGTTAATTCTGGGACTCACCACAGTGTGCTCTTGGGGGAGCCATCATTTTTATTTCTTTCCTTTTTTTTTTTTTCCTTCCTGGCAGCAGAACTCTGAAGTCGTTTTCGGGTTGTTCTGAACACTGAGCACAGATGCCTTTGCGGGGGAGTGGACGCTTGGAGGCTTTTCCAGACACTGTGGCCAGGGACACAGGCCAACGGCCTCAGGCTCCACACTGAGCCACACTTTTGGAGCTCTCTAAGGCTTGGCTGTGGTGGGTCAAAGATGGATAGTTGTGGAGAGAGAGAGAGAGAGAGAGAGAGAGAGAGAGAGAGAGAGAGAGAGAGAGAGAGAGAGAGAAGAGAGGGAGGGAAAGAAAAAAAGAAGGAAATAAAGGTAGGGAGAAGAGCGAGAGGAGGAGGGAAAAGGGGAGGAAAAGAGAAAGAAACAAAGAAAGGAAAGGGGAAAGGCTCTGTAGACTAGAAAAAAATGAAGCTGGTCAGTTTTCAAGAATGGATCTGGTCTAGGGTGGCTGGAAGAGACAGATGTGGAAAGAACAGAAAGGCTACAATAAAGGAAGAGGGGCTGGAGACGTGGCTCAAGTGGCGGAGCTCCTGCCTAGCAAGCGTGAGGCCCTGAGTTCAAGCCCCAGTACCACCAATTAAAACAAAAAAGGAAGAAGCCTGTAATCTTAGCTACTTAGAAAGCTGAGATCAGGAGGATCGAGGTTCAAGGCTAGCCAGAGCAAATAGTGTGTGAGATCCCCATCTCCCAAATAACCAGAGCAAAATGGACTAGAAATGTGGATCAAGTGGTAGAGAGCCTGCTTTGCAAGTGCAAAGCCCTGAGTTCAAACCCCAGTGCCACCAAAGAAAAAGAAAAGAAGGACAAAGTCACGGGAGTAAAACCAAGAACTGAGGGGAGAGAGGCGATGCAAACGCGGGACAAGAACCACAGAGGAAGGAGTTGGCAGGAGGAAGGGGACATGGAGTCCAGAAGACACGACTGTGGCCAGTAGGTGCTGGAGGCTCCTCCAGATCCTCGGGGCTGGGTCCCTTCAGTCCTGCACTTCATGCCCTGGACAGTGAGGGTCCAGGACACAAGCCCCCCAGGGGAGCAGGGCCTGGAGTCTCTCCATGGACATCCAGGACAGAAGGCTGCAGCCATGTGTGTGCCCCAGGCCATCCTCAAACTGAAATCCTAGCTCGGCCACTTGCAGTTCTGAAAGAGGTGGGCTTGGTGACAGCACTGAAGCATTGGTGGCCATCAGGGAGGGCCAAAACTTACTTGAAGTCAAAGACCCGGGAGCGGGTGAGAGAGGAGAATGGGGGGGGGGGGGGAATATGATAAAAGTACCTAATTTAAAAATTAAAAAAAAAAACAAACCCTTAAAAATCTAGCTAGTTTTGGTTTGAGTAACTTGGGCAGCAGGGGATGAACAAACCCTCTGTGTCCCCTTTGGGGTGCTTGGCTATCCCGCTTCTTGAGTCCAGACGGGAGACAGAGGCAGAAGGAGGATGACAAACCTGTTTGGGGACACAGTACATGGGGAGCTGATTCTAGCTTGCCTGTGGTTTCTGAGCCATGTTCCTGGAGCTGGGAGCTTGTGGTATAAGTCCCTGTTGTACAGATGGGAACACAGACCAGGATGCCTCTGGCTTCCACTTCTTCTTGAAGGTGGCAGGGCAGAGGGCTCTGTGGTTTGAATTCCAGCCACTTCCCAGCTGACTTTGGGCATTCTCTTACTTCCCTGGGCCTCTGGCTCCTCTGTGTGGACTAGGAATGAGATCGTCAGGGGACACAGACACCCACTCCACATTTCTGCAGGGAGAACCTCACCAGGTGGGATTGATACCTGTGCCTCCCTGGCAACTGTTCCAACTGGCACAGCCGAGAGAGGGAGCAGCATGGTCAGCTGAGCCCATGCTCAGGAGCCAGCTGTCTACAGTGCCACCTGAACTGGAGTGACTGGTGAGCAAAGGCCCTGACCCCAGATGGCAGGCAGGTCTCCTATCAGCTAATGGGGCCATTTAGCCTCATCTGTGGGACTCCTGGGTCTGCCTCTCTCAATTGGTTCTGAGCTTGGGCAGGGGAGAGGGTGGTATTTACTAGGCCCCCTGAAACCCCAACAGAGACTACTTCCCCAATTAGGATGCTGTGTGTTGAAGGTCTTTGTGCACCTTCCCAGGCTCCAATGGGACCCCATGTGGTCGTGGTGGTGGTGGTGACTGTCTCCCTCCAGAAGGAAGGCAGACATTTATTGAGCAGCTCCGTCAGGGCTGGGCCACGGCCCTGTATCCTGGCAGCTTAACACCATCTTGTCTGCTCCAGAAACAGCTTCAATAAACCATCAGGTGAGTGTCCTTAGTAACCAGGCCTTGGATATGCCACCCTGGACGTGGGTGGCATCTGTGTTGAAGGCTGGTGCAGAAGAAAAGAGCAAAATGCTCTGCTGCTCACAGACCTGGTCTGTCTTCAGGTGCCAGTGCTGGGAGAAAGCACAGGAGTCACTCACCCCTCCCTTCAGGATGGTGAGCATGGGTGCCAGTGGCTCATGTCTGTAATCCGAGCTACTTCGGAGACAATGATCATGGGGATTGCAGTTCAAGCACAACCCAGGCAAATAGTTCACGAGACCCCCCATCTCCAAAGCAGCCAGAGCAAAATGAACTGGCGGCATGGCTCAAGTGGTACAGTGCCTGCTTTGCCAGCACAAAGTCCTGAGTTCAAACCCCAGTCCCACCAAAAAAGAAAAATTACAGAGGTAGAGGAGGGTCTGGAACAACTGTGAGATGTGAGTGAGGAGGATAGCAAACTGCCGGCACCTGCAAGGTCCACAGCAGAACCCTGGGCGTGATCCCAAGGATCCAGAGGGCACTGGGTCATTGCGTGGCTAGGGTCAAAGCCTCGTTCCTGGCTGATGACAGGGGAGCCACTGTGGGCATCAGTCCCTTCTCAAGCAAGAGCTTGAGGAGATGGCAGCATGACACGCAGCTCCGCCTCTGTGATGACTATTACCATCTGGAAATCCACTTCCTGCCCACTGCCACATCTGGTCAGGAGGTGGGGCATGTGACTGAGCCTGGCCAATCAGTGCAGCCTCTGGCAGCTGTGACCAGTCCAGGGTGGGCATGTGACCTAAGCTTATGCAATCAGGAGACTGGAAACTTTTTGCATGATGTCTCATCTCTTTGTGCGTATTCGATGGGGGCAGGAGGGCCTCCGGCAACCCCAAAGGGCAAGTCTGTGACACAGCAGAGCTCCAAGATGTCCTGGAGCCCGCTTTCTGCCCAATACAGCACCTCCCCACCCTGCCTCCTTTGCCCAACATCTTTCAGTGCCCTCCTGTTGTAACCCCGGGCGGGGCCACAGGACTTAACTTTGACCGCTGCAATTTCAGTATACAGGATGTCAACCAGAGATTGAAAACTGCTTGTGTTAGCTCTGGTGCCTCTGCCAATGCTGTGTCACCTGCAGGAGGACGGGAAACACCTGTGGCAGCCCGCCCAGCCCAGACATGTGAGAGAGCCCCTGACAACGACCCAAGATTGACTGGCTGTGCATGAAGCCGATGGGTCTGGTTTGTCACACAGCACTGCAGTGGTGGTGGCTGCTACAAGCCCTGTCCCACATATCACATGCTCATGGAAGCCACACTGGGTTCTAACTCAAAACATCCCAGCGGACCCATCCTTTTATTCCAACCACAGCCTAGAAACATTGCGGAAGACCCGAGTCAGAGGGACATTCTTTCTAGAAGGCTATGAGTTCATTGAATGCTGTGTTATTTTCAGAGATGGCAAGGTTACAAAATGTCCAATGATGATGGACGTGGACTCCAAAAGGACATTTCCAACACAAGAGGTGTCTCTCAGCCACTGTCAGGGGACACGGAGGCGGGACAAGGGTGACGATGCCTGGGGTGCACCCGTTCCAGGACAACCTCTGGCAACAGGGCCTTTCTGTTCACTTGCTTCCTCGGAGCTTGGGGCATGCTCCCGGGGCTTCCTGAGGGCTGAAGAGCTTTCCGTAATACTCATCGGCAGCTCGGTGAACAGGTTCAGTGGTGTTCAGGGAGGCTGCCCCCTGGGATGGCCAGATCAAGTTCAGCCCGAACACACAGGCCAGGTTGGAGCTGTTCATTTTGTTGACAATGCTCTCCTGGGACACCTGGAGGAGACCACACGTGAGGCCGGGGGTATGTACGCTGGGAGCAGTAGCCATGGCCTAGAGTCCATCCTCACTGCCAGGAGGGGCTTGTACAGTGGAAACAGCACTGGACTGGGAGCCGCAGGCCTGAGCTGACACCTTGTGTGGCCCCCTCCCCATCTGGGGCCTCAGTTTCCCCATCTGTAAAAAAGGGACTGGCTTTGATGCTCTAGGGACCCTCCAGCTCTGACCATCTATGGTCTGTCCTCTGGAATCTCTCCAACACCCCACCTCCTCCCCTTCTACCTCAACAGATTCTGGAGGCCCAGCACCATGGGCGTGAGCCAGGAAGACTTGCCCCAGGTCACATGGCCATTGGTGGCAGGGGGACCAGGCAGACCTGCTCTCCCCTTGCCTCTCCACAAGACCCAAGCTGGGGAACGTCGGAGTCAGCGCAGGTATGAGGCAGAGACGCAGACACGCCGAGTGGGGCTGAGAGCCGAGTGCATCCGAGTGAACACAGCCCAATACCGCATCCCAGCAGATGTGCTAACGCCAGGCACACAGAGGAGGCCAGACTTAAATCTGTCACACTCAGGGGCTCTGAGACATTACATCAGGGGACAGAGTGGGAGAACGAAATAGCTGGTGTTAAAGCCAACAGGTGAGGTTGTCTGATGGGCTCTCCTGTGCCCTTATTCTACCACACCACTCCCCTGCATGGAGCAGGGTGTCCTCACAGGCCCTCACCCCTGCTGTGGGTGGTTAGACTCTTAGGGGTCTGAGCCCCAAGGCTGGGCCCCACAGCTGGCTCTGCCTTGTCCCTGCCTGGACCCCAAACAGTTGGGGCAAAGGGCCTGAGACAAGAACTGGGAACCTCTTTACCACAGAGGGTAACGTTGGAACGAGAGGGGAGAACTCGCCTGGATCTGTTGAGTTTTCCCATTAGCCTCACAGGCTTTTGCTCCAAATGTGCCTCTGCCACTGGAGAGGGGGCTGAACCCAGAGCCAGAGCCGGGACAGCTTTCTCTCACTGTTCAGTTCCTTATCCTGGGGGTAGTAGGTTGAAGGGTGGCCCCACCAAAAAATATGTCTACCAGAAGCTATAAATGTGACTTTATCTGAAAAAAGCGTTCTTAACCCAATGGCATATGTCCTTAGGAAAGAAAGGCAGAAGGAAAGACCAGAGACACTGAGAGGAGGGTCACATGAAGATAAGCAGAAATGGGCCAGAAGAGACAGGGTGACATGTGGCCACCGGGAGCGGCCAGGAGCTGGGAGAGGCAAGGGAGGCTCCTGCCCCGGAGGCCCAGAGTGGAGTGCAGTGCCGCATAAACCTGGATTCTGGGCTCCTGGCCTCCAGCAGCAAGGGGACACATTTCTCCTGCTTTAAACCCAATCCTGTGGCCCTCCTTGAGGCAGCTGGGAGCCTAGCACACATGCTGGGGACATGTTCCCTTACAGGGATCTCAGGCTCTGTCCACAGAGGGCCTACTGTGCGCCAGGCTCCCCACCTCCCAGAGCCTCAGCCCAAGCCTGGGACATAGGAGCAGAGGAGATGCATAGCACAGTTGCCAGCAATAGCCAGAGGACAGGGACTGCAGGCCAGGTCTGGGAGCTGGTGGGGTCCTGGTGGGCCCTGCTTGGCAGGTAGGCCTCTCAGAAGAGTTGCTGCCTGGCCAGGTCTGGGATGAAGTCTTTTGGTGGCCAGGGAGGGGGATCTGGAATGTGTGTGATCCCAGACCTGGGGCAAGCAAAGGCTGGGCTGCCAGGCCGAGCCGGCCTCCCCCAAGCGCCCAAGGTCCACTCAGCGCGTGCAGGAAGCCCATGAGGTAGCATAGTTGTGCTCAGGGAGGCCCCGCAGGATCTGACGACAGTGACTCACACGCAGGCTGCTCTCCACACCTGCAAGGCACGGGGCTCCAGTCTGTGCGGCTCGGTCTGCGCAGGGCAGCGGTGGCTCGTGCTATTTTTCCCGCTATGTCCTCATGTCCTCCCAGCATTATATGTGCGCCGCCCCCAGCTGGCTCCCGTGGTGAAAGGCTGGAGCCGGGCTCTACCCGGGAGCCTCGTGCCTTTTGTCACCCAGTCTTTCCTAGTTGCTTCATCCCACCCCAGCTTACACCCAGGCCAGTGGCTGTCCCCCACTTCTGTATTTCTCAAGAGGAAGAAGGCATGACTTCCCCTCAGGGGCTCAAGGTGATGAGTTCACGGTTGTGGTGGAAAACTAGAGGGCTGGAAGAATTCCAGCATTCCGTTGGACAGACAGAAGGACAGACAGAACCCTGACCCAGGAGGCACTACCATTACCCAGAACACCTGTAATCCTAGCTACTCAGGAGGCAGAGATTGGAAGGATCACAGTTCAAGCCCAGCCTGATCCAAAAAAAAAAAGTTCTCAAGACTCCATCTCAACCAATGAAAAGCCGGGCATGGTTGTGCACACTCGTCATTCCAGCTGTGTGGGAAGAGTAAGTAGGAAGACTGTGCTCCAGGCTGTTCTGGGCACACATGCAAGAGCCTATTTAAAAAATACCTAAAGCTAAACGGGTCCTTTTTCTGGATAAGAGTTGAGGTTCTGGGAATTCCCCCAGGGTAGTATGGGAGTGGACAATGTGCCGCAAATCTAGAGAATCTTCTGCTACCCTGTGACACCGGACAGGGTGACAGCTGACCCACCTCCTTCGCTGAGGACAGTGTGGTCTGGCTGAGTGCAGCAGGGGCCCGGGATCTCTGCGGGATGGGACAGCCCCAAAGGCCTCTCTCCTGCCCAGCAGTGCCAGATGACAAGAGGATGAGGCTAGGCAGATGCCACCCCACACACACGTGAGCCTGACCCTGGGCCAGGAGCTGGGGACACCAGAGGACCACGGTGGCCCGGGTATGCACTGGTGATGCCGAGGATCTGCTCATAGGCCTCGAAGGTCAGCAGTGGCTGGGGCAGCTCCCGCAGGAAGGTCTTCAGGATCGCGGCTGGCACATGGATGTCCCCGTAGTCATCAAAGTCCACCGGCTTCCCTGCACACGGAACACCCCACAGCTGTCTGGGCTCAGCCTGAGTACTCCTGGGGGAAGGGCTGGGCTGCAGCCAGGGCCTGGGGATGAATCTGCCCCTCCTGGAAACAGGAGTGCTCTTTCCCTGTCAGCTGCTGCTAACCTTGGGTCTGTCAGAGTCCAGCATGGGCGACACCAAAGCACACAGAGCTGGGTGGGGAGACAGTGCCCAGCATGGCGAGCATGGTGAATGACCACGCTCAGTGGAGGACAGGATGGGGAGAGGGCAGGCATCCTGGTGAGCAAGATTTGGGGTGTCCTCGACTCAGATGCCATGCCCTGTCTGTGGGCGCTGCCTGATGAGAACCTCACCACATGGTGCCCTGCTTTTCAGAGTGTTTTGTCAAACCATGTGTCCATCTGCAGTGTGTGGCAAAATGGCCTGTGTGACCACCTCACCCCAGTGGGCGGGGGTCTGGGTAAAGGGCCCCTCCTGCACTAGGCAAGGGGTGGGAGTGGGGTCCTGGGCAGTGACCTGGCCTGGGTCTCAGTGGGGTGGGAGCTACACAGCCTCCGGTACCAGGACGCTGATGCCTGAGGGCTGTGGGTGACTGGTGGGGCTCCGGGCAGGGTCTGGGCTACTCACCTTGATCGTACAGCCTCTGGACCTGGCGGATGGTCTGGGCGCTGGCCGATCTGTGGAACAGACCCTCGGCGTGCAACCCTACAAGGGGAAGAGTCTCGGAGCATTTCACTCATCTCAGCACCTGGGCTCTGTGGCTGCCCCTGCCCACGGCATCCCTCCTGAGGCTGGAGAGGCTCTCCGGACCTGCTCCAGTTCCCCCAACCCCAGCTGATCTCCCATGACCCCCAAGAGGGGTGTGCGGAAAGAGACAGACTTCGGCTCTCCCCACACCAGCTGTGTGACCCTGGAGAATGCACTCAGCCTCTCTGAGCCTCAGCTGGCTTTTTTGTCTATAGAGTGAGACCATGAGCTCCTGCCTCTGGGACTGGGAAGAAAAGGCCTGGCACATAGGAGGTCCCCAAACATGCAGCCTGGAGCTAAACTGCCCAACATGGCAGCCACCAGCTACTCATGGAGCCTTCCATGAGAAATTAGTCAATTACAATTAAGTAAGTGACACAGGCCTGGTGGGTTTCCCAGGCTCCTGTCAGAAGCAGCTCTTGAGACCACCGACCTAGCCTGCAGAAGAGAAGCCCTCTACCATCCTGCCGGCAGGCCAGTGCCAGGGACTGGACCTGACAATGACCCAGGGGAATGACGTCAGACATGTTGGGAATACCATGTCGAGACTTGCAGTGGCCTGGCCTCCGGCCCGCAGTGCCAAGTCTGCGGGAGAACTGGGGTCTGCACTGGGGAGTGTGGCCCTGAGGACGTGACAGTGCCCTGAGCTGGGGACTCTGGAGGCGGCATAGCCAAGGCGGGGTGGTTGGTAAATCTGTGGCCAGAAAAGCTACAACACCCGACTTCTGATGCTTCAGTTTCTCATTTTTCTTTTTTTGCGGCACTGAGGATTGAGCCAGCACCTTACACTGGACCATTTGAGCCATGTCCCCAGCCCTTTTGTTTTTAAGTTTGGTTTTGAGATAGGGTTTTGATAACTCTGTCCAGCCTGGCCTTCAACTTGCAATCCTGCTTCTGTCTCCTCAGTAGCTGGGATTACAGATGTGTGTCACTGTGCTGGGCTCTGGATTTCAAAAATTTTAACTTCATGATGGTTACACTTCATGGTAGCATACTTGGAATTCTGAGTTAGACCTGTTCCTGGCTAAGGCTAGGAGGTATGTGCTCTGCTGTGCAGTCTGCTCTCAGGACACTGGGCAGTGGTGGCATCCAGCTGCAGTTCCATGCTGCACAACGCCACTCAGTATTGCTGAGCTGTGACACGGGGTGGGACACGCACAGGAAATGCATTTCTGCCTACCGTCATTTCAGTTTACAATGGGTTTATATAGAGACATAACCCAGTGTCAGACTATGTGCATGGGGACGGGTGCGGAAGAGGAGGGGGAACGGGCTGGGTGGGCACAGCAAAGCCTCAGGGCTCTGGGAGGGAATGGAGCGCCCCTGGAGCAAGACTTCCCAGAGACCTGGCCTTGAGCTGCCCTGGGTCTTGCTTGGCAGTGACCCTTGAGTGGCTAAGCATCTCCTGATCTCCTCCCAGGGCCTGACTGGGTCTCACTATAAACCGGTCCCCCACTAGGCATCAGGGCTGACTGTCTGTGTCACAAAGGGTAAGCCGTGTCTCTTAAATAGTTTCCCCGAGCTCTCCCCTCCCCCCTGCCCAATCTTGTCCCCTTTCCCAAGCTGAGGGAGTGGTTAGATGTGCACCTCCAAGGTCAGGCCAGCCATGCCACAGTGAGGCCTTCCATGTCTCCACTGTCACAGGCCAGAGCTCCCCACGGGCTGTTCCCTGGAGCCCTCACTCCAGCCCTCACCATGACACTGCCTTCCTGCAGGGAGGATGCTCTGTACTTCTTCCTGGCCTGGCCTTTGGCTGTCCTGTTCCCTTTGGGTGAGGCTGGTCTCTCTCTTTCGTGCTAAGTGATTGCAGTGGCAGGGTTCTGGGATGGCTAGATTCCTAGCCCCTGGCACACATGCACCTGGAGTTTTCCTAGGTATCCAGACATTAATCTAGGTACTACAGCGAAGGGGCTTTGCAGATGTAATTCAGGTTGAAGCCAATTGACCTTAAGATAAGAAGACCTTGGGTGGGCCGGACCTAATCAAATGAGTTTTAAAAGGGACCAGTTCCTTCTAAGTGAGAGACATTCAAGGCCAAGGGCTGGGATTAGGAGTGGGAATGCTGTTGGTGGAGGGAGATACCTGGCAAGGAACACTGGCAGCCTGTAGTTGCTGAGCCAGGCCCCTGGCTGGCAGACAGCAAGGAAACAGGCACCTCAGTACTCTGACAGTTGACAGAATCAAAATGGAGTCACTTGTGTCAATCTTAACAGAAACGTAGGTCAACCCGGGAGATGATGGAGGAGGAGCTTTACACCCAACTGCCTGACAGTAACTGTCACAAAAGTTTTCAGCCAGTAAGTATATGACAATTTGCCAGACAGCACAACAAACCAACATGGTGACTTGATACCCAAGTGTCAGAATTCAGGTCTCCTGGGCTCTGTGGCCAGCTTAGGTCTGTCCTGGTAGCGTGTGTGTACAGCTTCACAGAGGAAGACATAATGGACTGCGAGCTCCCAGAGGCAGGGACCGTGTTGTCACTGCGGCACCCAGCCCTGAAGCAGGCTCAGGGTACTGAGCTGCTCCGTTTTTAATAAGGGAACAGGTAGGTCCTGCCTGCGGCCCACCCTGCATGCCCACCCCTCCTCTGTACCCCCCACCCCCGCCCTGTGCATGAGTCTACCATCAGGGGTCCTGGCAGGGAGGCCTGTGAGGCTCCCAGCCTCCAAGCCCACTGGTGATGGTGCCTGCAAACCCAGGGTCACCCTGTCAACAGAGCTGCTGCTGCACCGAGTGTCACCTCTACAGGTGACAAGCTGGAGCTCGGGAACACATCAGGGAACAGAGGCCCAGAGAAGGTAAGGAACTGGCCCAAGGTCACATGGCCAGCACATCCGGGAGCGAGGAGGCAAAGCCAGACTGTCTGAGGCCGTGCCTGGAGCCACTGTGCTTATGCCCTCTCCTGGTCACCTCTCTGGACAGATCCCAGCTCCTCCAATTCCCTGGCCTGCAAGGTGCTCAGGATCTGAGATGGACCTCAGGGAGAGGTTGGGCATCCAGCTACCGTGACGTGCCCTGGCTGGAGCTGGCTCTTACCTTTCTCTGTCAGGTACGTCACCGTGAACCTCAGCACAGGGGGGATGAACTCCCCTTGGTTTTTGTCTTTGAGGCTGAGAGGAGAGAAAAGAAAGCCTTGACAGGTGATGTTGGCAAGTGTTTTCTCAGGCCTCCCCATGCCTGAGAAAACACAGCACTGGAACCAGCCAGGAAGAGAGACACAGCCTCTGTCCCCAGCAACCAGCAAGTGGCTAAAAGAAGCCACAATAATAAAAAACGGTAATGCAGTGCCAAAACTCCATCCCTGAAAGGGTATGGGGAAGGCTGAGGGTGGAAGGGCTTCCCCAAGGAGCAACGTTAGGACTGGGTTTTGAGGGATGAGTAGGAGTCTGCCAGAGTACAAAAGAGAGAACAGCATTCCAGGCAAGGAGACACACACGGGAGGGCCCAGAGCCATGACTCGGTTTGGCGGTGAGGTGGACCCAGAGCCCTGGCCTGGGTGCAATTCTATTAATACAACACTTGATAAAACAAAAGTCCTGACACACAGGAACAGCAGGAACTTGGGGAAGAATGAGGGGCAGATTAGGGCTGTGCCTTTGGCACCTAACACTAATCGAGGACCTCAGTGGAAAAAGCTGTTGTATCTGATGACAGGTGTGCCTTGCTTTCTCTTCCTGGGGAAAGTCACCCCACTGCACACAGAGTCTGCTGGGTCTAGTGACCTGCTGTGGATGTGAGCAGACATGACACACACTACAATCAAGGAGACTGTGTGACCTGGCCATACTTGGTCCAGTCCTCCACCAGAACAGGGTGTCCCAGAGGAAGACTCCTTCTGCCCGGGTGTCAAAATGGCAAGACACACACAGTGAGCTGAGCCCCAGCTGGCTTGTGTGCCCACGGAACCAAGAAAGAAAGAAACACCTGTCGCCGCTGTACTGAGCCAGAAGACTTTGTTACGCAGCATTGCCAGCATGAGTTGACAGAAACACAGGAAGAAAGACCCCTGCTCTGGGAACAGCATCTCAGTGTAGTCCTGAAGAGAAAGGTGGATGGGGGCACATAGTGACAAGAACACACATGGGATGAGGGGACAGGCCCAAGGGCAGGAAAGCACAGCCTGTCTTGTGAAACTGAGGTACCTTTCTCAGACCGCTGGAGCTCAGATGAGGAAACTGAGACACAGAAAGTTAACTTGACTTGCTCACTTGAGTGCACGGCCAAGATTTGAACCGAGGCAGGCAGGCTCCAGGCACAGCTTCTCAGCCATGCTGCTATCCTGCCTTGCACAGTGTCACAATCACTCTACAAATGCCAGCCACAGATAGGAACAAGAAGGACATAGTGACAAAACACTGGCAGCACAAATTCAGCAGAGACAGAAAGGCAGCAGGAGAAGGAGGTCAAAGGGGGGCCTCGGTGTCCTCCACGTGTGCATCTTAGCTGTGCCGCTGAAGTCCGTGGCTGACTTCCCGGAGCCTGCATAAGTGGGTGTGAGACCAGGCTGTGGGCTGGCTGGAGGCTGAGCTGTGTAACACCCGTGAACAGACCCCGCCACCCGGCAAACGCTCAGCAACCTGTGCTCTGTCTGCAGTGGTCTCCTGTCCCCACTCGGGCATCCGGGGGTCGGATGGTTTACAGGGGACACGACAGTGATTATGCTTTTACTCCACGATCTGCAGAGGAATCTTAAACACTTGGTCCAGTTAAACAGTGACGACCATGTTGCCGGCAGCAATGGCAAAGCCTCTGTGCACCCAGCTCAGTGCATGGCTGAGGTTCTCAGAGACTTCTCTGCTGAGTGGCCTGTGCAGGATGCTGGACAGTCGTCCAGTCACTGAGGTGCCACAAGGCTGGCCCTGCCTTCAGGAGGTCCTGCTGCTGCAGGAATGTGGCTGGGCCTCCCCACCTGTTCCCTTAGGCCCCGATGGAGGGAGCAGGGGACTGGGCGGGTGACTTCTCTGGTTTCCCTGAGGAGGGAGCCTGGGCCATTTCAGGGCTCTTTTCCTCCTCACTGCTTTCTCAGGAGCCAGGCAGCCCTGTGAGTCCTGGTCCTTTCTTTCAGTGCTGGGTCAGTGTCAGCCATTCCCTTGTCCTTCCCAGCCTCAGTTTCCCCATTTGGAGGGCAGAGATACAGCAGTGTCTCTCCAGGGTCTGCAGACATTAACACTGAGGGAGGTGGCGTTGTTCAGCAGTGAGTCAATGGTACCACAGCGGGAATCATTCTAACACCGGGGTGGCAGCCTCCCCAGGACAGACGTGTGGCCCATCGTGCAGATGTGCAAACCAGCTCAATGAACTGCGGTGACCTGCTCAAGGTCACACAGCTGAAGAGCCTGGGTCTACAGATTCCAAAGTCCAGCTGGTCGCTGCTCCTGGGGACATGCATGTCAAGGATGTGGATGAGTTACGACCAGGATGAGCGATGAAGAGACCCCTCTGCCTCCCACTTAGCGACACTTTAAAGCAGACTTCCAGGCAGGAGGTGGCCATCAGAACTATCCAGCTCCACCTCCTCCTGCAGATGACAAAACTGACACTTGTTCGGAGTCATGACCTCCCAGGGAGCTCATCGTCCTCTGCCCACGTATTCAGGAGCAGCGCGTCCCGTCTGTGCCTCTTACAGCTAAGCAGACCGGGACCCTGGCATAAAATTATTGTTCCCAGCAGAGCGAAAACCCTGTTTGGATTTCTTTCCCCCTCCTCGCCCCTACTTGCTGGCTCAGAGGAGGCTTTACTCAACGTGCAGAGAATCCAATTACCCCGGGGGTTTGGAGAGCAGGTGTGCTGTGCGAATCCTGCCCCGTGCAAAGACGCATGGGCTGTGCTAAGCCCACACCCTGAACTAAGTCCCAAGAGGCACAGGCAGGAGCAGTCCTGGTGGGTGACGCACGTTCCAAGCTGGCTCCCGTCCACTGTGTGCCCAGTGGAAGGTGCTCGGAATGCTGGGCACGTAACCCTCACTGTGCCTCCGCAGGGAGAAAAGCGTGGAGGGACTCAGGGCACTCTTTCCTGCTTTTGCATGCATGGAGAGCATGGGCTGTTAACCACAGTGGGATGGCAACACAATGCTGGGAAGGGAAGTGTGCAGCCAGCCTGCCCCAGTGGGCATCAGCCTCAGAGACAGTCACTCGACTTCTAGATGCAACATGTCAAGATGATTTTAAAAAATGAAAGAAAAAAATTAAAACCAAATAAAGAAAAAAGAGGAAAAAAAAAAAAAAAAAGCATGTTCTCCCAAGTCCTAAGACGGGACAGATGGCTGCAGCTCCCATTGCTGTTCCTGGCCACACAGTCAGCCAGGGAGGTCCTGGATGCAACAGAGTGGACAGTGCACGGGGATGATCCAGGGACCACTATGGACTGCTTAGGACCATGCATGGCGTGTGCTACAAAGCCCACTCACTGAATCGTTTTTACAGAGCAGCAAACTGAGGTTCAGAGAGGCAAACTATTTTTTCTGAAGTCAAATAGCCTAAGCACTGGCTAGAGCCAGGGTTTATGTCAATATCTGACTACAGCCTGTCTTTGAATTGTGGTCTGGTGAGAGGTAGGAAGCTAGGAGGTGATGGGACAAAATTGAGAATTTTGGGGATCCTACATCTGCTGAGTTGGCCATCTTTGGAGGCAGATGTGGGATAAGAAATGGCGGGGTGTCACTAGCTTGGCCAGTCCTCACACCTCTACCAGGGTGGTGTCTCCATCCATTTTCTGTTGCTATAACAGAATACCTGAGGTGGTATAAGTTCTGGAGGCTGGAAGTCCAAAGGCACAATGTCGACACCTGCTCAGCTCCTTCTTGCTCCTTCCTAATATGGCGGAAGGACAAAAGGGGGGCTGAGCACAGATGAGAGAGAAAAAGCACGAGGGGCAGACTCACTTCACAACCGCCAGCTCTGTGATAAGACCCTCGTCAGGGAGACCGGCCCTAATTACTCATGGCGGGGAGTCTCACGACCCACACACCTTCCACCGGACCCCCCAACACTGCCGCACTGGGAATGAGGTCTCAAACACACCAACTTTCGGGACACTCAGACACAGCACAGGGGGCTGCGCAAGTCAGCTGGAACACACAGCTTAAACTCAGGGCTGGGGAAGGCCCACTCCCCAAAGCCAGGCCAGTCACGGACAGTAGGGACCTGTACTCTCAGGTCAGTCATGTGGTATAGGAACCCAAAGACATGCGTTTCACCAGCACGTGGGGAAACAGAGGATGCTGGGTGCCCATCCTCTCGCTCCTGGCCGAAGTGGGCCCTGGGCTCAGTGAAATCCTGGGCTCTGGGAGAGAGCGTATGCTGGAAGGGCCACATGGCCCGGCTCACTAATAAGCAGCCCTGAGGGGCCCTGAATCCATCACCATCAGATGTTCCCTTCAATGGGGAGGAGTGGAGAGGGGACAATGCCATCGGCCGTCTTGTCCCCAGAGTTAACAATCCACACACTCTCCCTCTCTCCTCCTACCTACACAGCCACTCAGGACCACATGAGGAAACAGTGAGTACAGGTAAAGCTAACTGCATAGGTAAAGACAAAAGAGAGCACAAATGCTTTACTGCCTTCTTCATTGTTCCCCCATCTACCTAATTTAAAAGGCCTTTGCTGTAGCCTAGTGTGGTGGTGCACACCTGTAATCCCAGCTACTCCTCTGGTGGTGATTGGAGGATTGTGGTCCAGGTCCAGCCCCAGGCAAAAGAGTGAGACCTTATCCAAAAAGTAACTAAGGCAAAAATGGGCTGAAAGTGTGGCTCAGGTGGTAAAGTGCTGTCCAGCAAGTGTGAGTTCAGACTCCAGTACCACAAAAAAAAAGGGTGTGGAAAACATAATCTAAAGATATGCTTTCTACAAGAGATGACGTCTTTAGACTAAAACACACAGTAGGTTGAAAGTAAAAGGACGAACAAAGAGTACCATCTAACCAATAACCAAAAAGAATCTAGCATCAGACAAGAGACTTCCACATAAGAACTGTCACAAGTCACAAAGAAGGTCATTTTATGATGATAAAATGGGTCAGTCCATGAGGAAAGCATATGAATTACAAACATTTATGCACCTAACAATAAAGCCCCAAAACATAAAACAACAATAGACAGAACTGAAGAGAAAC